TTCTGCATCCTATTGAGGTTTTTTTTTGTATAATAAATTAAAAAATGTGTTATGCAAACGAACAAAAAAACAAAATTTACAAACTTTTAATTCTCGAACAAAATCACTTTCTGATAAAACATTATTTCTTTCTAATGTTGTTTTATTTGTTGTTTCTTTATAAATTAATTTATTTAAACGTTCTAAATCAAGTCTTAATAATTCAATTTGTCGTTTTAAATGTGTACAATCAGTTTCCATATTTTTAATTGTATCTAAATAAAATTGTTTTTTTTTTAAAAAAAAAAAAAATAATTTTAAAATATTTTCTTTACTTTCAGTTCGAAGTTTTCGTGACATTAATATTGTATGTTTTAATTTCATTGAATCAGTTTCTTTTTCTAATAAATCTTTTTCATTAGTTAAATGTACTAATTCATTTTGTCCTTTTAACCATATTTGTTCAAGATCAAATATTTCTTTTCCAATTTGTGTTATGGATTTTTGTAAATTTAATATTTCTACTTCTAATGGTCCTAATTCAATACCACCAGCTTTTTCTTTTAAATTTTCTAATTTTTTATTCATTAAATCAATTTGATTTTGTTTTTGTTCAATTAATAAAACACGTCGTTTTATTTCTTGTTCACTACGTGTTATTATTTGATTTTTTTCTAATATTTGTTCATTATATTCTTTTGATTGTATTTCAAGTTGTTTTATATTTGTTATTAAATATGTTTTTTCTAAACGTGCACGAGCTATATCATTTTCAACTTTAGATAAATTACGTTCCTATAAAATAAAATTAATTTTTTTGTGTAAAAAGTTAAAAATACGTACAATTTCACGTGTAGATTCTTTAAGTTTAAAACGTAATTTTGCACTATAATCAGCAGCTTTTTCAGCTGTTAATTGTTCTTGAATTTGTTGATAAATTTCATCTTCTAATTTGATACGTTCATGATTTTCTTTTTCAATTTCACGTTGTAAAATATTTAATTCATGTTGTTTTTCAGCTTTTTCCTATTAAAAAAAAAAAATTTATTAAATTATCTTTGTTCTTTATTTCTATTTTTTTTTTGTTCGGTATACATTATTAACACGATTAAGCATTAGTTGAGTTTCTTCAAGAGCTTTTGTATATGTAGAAATTTCTTGTTTACATGTGTCAGATTTTTCACTATTAATTTGAAGTAATTTTTCTAAATTTTGTATTTCATATTTTGTACGATTTAAGACTAATGTTAATTTTTCATTTAATTCTTGTTCTTTTACAATTGATCGTTTATATGATTCCATTTCAGTATTCATTGTATCAATACGTTGTAATTGTAATCTAAATATATGAAAAAAAAGAAAATCAATTTTTAAATTAAAAAAATTCAAAATGAGATATTAGTCTGTCAATTAATTTTGTTATGAACGACTATATGTATTGCATTGTCACTATCAAATTCTATCTTGATATTTTTAATGAAATTTTTGTAGAATACGAGTGAGTTTTTTTTTTTGTATTTGGCGATGAAACCGAGGGAAACTATAATGTTGAAAATCTAGCTTGAAATCCGATAGTAATTTTAATATCAAATGAAAGTTTCTATTTAATTTATTTCATACAAAGATTTTAGAGATGTACTAAAGCATAAAATACTGAACAAAATGAAAAGTCACCATGTCTTTTATGACGACCTTCCATTAAAGAGTTAAAAGTACCACATATCCCAGGAGATTCAATCCGACCTGTAGATTCGATCGGGTCCGCCTCGGATTTCATCGGAATCCGACATCTTTCATAAAAAACCGATCGGATCCGACAAGGTTTTTGTCGGATTCCCATCAGCCGGATTCCGATGAAATCCAGACCGAAATCCGGCTGATGGGAATCCGACAAATATAGGACCGGATCCGACCGAAATTATTCCGAACTGGCGAGATCCGACTGGGGTCGTTTTACTTGGGTAACTTAGTTTAAGTTGATTTTTCGATAAATTTCGTCTTTTTATGATACTTTAAACTTTTTAAAGTAAGATCATAGAAAATGCGGCGACCTTTCGTTTTGTACAAAACTTTGTGCTCTTTAACATGACCCTATAAAAAAAAAGCATGTCTAAAAAATTCTTTCGAGATTTGAAAACCAGCTTCTCCGACTTTTAGAATATTAGCCATCATAATTCATTTATGAAATCTTGTTATAGAATACATTAGCTGGAAAGTTTCATTGACTATTAACATCCCTATCTAGATTTCAGATGATTGCCTAACATTTCAGAAAAACAAATCAAAAATACATTGTTATTAAAACTTTTCTCAGACGGCTAGAGCTCGTCGGATTGAAAATTTTGACTAATGTAATTCCGACATTGACTCAAGTCGCGGTTCTCTTATCTTATTAAATATAAAAACTTTAAGTTACTAATTTGTTTATAAAAAAGATACTTTAGAATGTTCACTATGATATGATTTGTTACATACCTGACAGCTTCTGCCATTGTTGCTTGTGCTTCATCACGTCTTCGAATACCAATTAAACAACTATTCCAATTTTGCATTAGTTGTTTTGTTTCTAATTCTAATGTTTCTGATTCAAGTCGTGCTTCAACTAATGTATGTTTAATATTTTTTGTTTCTTCCACTAGATAAATAAAATATAAAACAAATGTATTCGAAAATATATATATATAGATTAAACTAACTTTGAATTTTTAATTGATATTCATACATTGATATTTGTTCACGAAGATTATCAACTTGTTGTACAAGACGATCAACAAATAAATCCTTAATTTATATAAAATTATAATTTATTTAAATAAATTTTAAACATACTTGAACTCTTTTATCTGCTTCTAATTTTGATACTTCCGTATCAACTTTTTCTGTTGCTCGACGCATTGTTGATAAATCACCTCTAATATCATTTTTTGCTTTATTCATATAATGTAATCGACGTTGAAGAACATCTCGTTCTTTTTGAGTTTCCAAAGCTAAATAATTAAATATTTCATATTTCATATTTTTATTAATATATATATATTTTAAATAAAATACTTTGTCGCATTTGTGTATCATGTTCATCTTTTTTTTTTAAATGTTTATTTTTAATATATTTTAAATCTTGATCAATACGTTGTCGATCTTGATTGATTTCTCCAAAATGATCATGTTCTTTTTCAAGTAACATTTGATGTCTAGCTAATTCTTGTTGTAAATTATATAATGTTACACCAAGTACTTCACGTTTTTCACGTATTTTCTATTTTCAAAAAAAATAAAAATAAAAACAATGATATTAAAGAAAAATTTTTATGTTTTCTTTACTTTAAGTTCATTATCTGCTTCTCGTAATTGAATAGCAAGTTTTTCTTCACGTTTAAGTAAATGTTTCTTAAGAGCTTCTTGATATCGAATCATAAGTGGATGACTCGGATCCAACACAACCAATGACTGTTCATCTTCTGTAAGTGCATCTTCTGTAAAACATATATAAATATTAGATTTATTTTAGAAAATAAAGATACAATGTTTCTATCTGTGATAAACTCAAGATTATATACTCTTTTCAAGAATAAATTAATAATATTTTTCCGGAGATTAAATGAAAGCAAACTTCTTCAATTGATGTAACCAGAAAAAAAGCTTCATGTCTCTGACTAGACCAACAAACAGACTACTCAAACGTTTATAGAAGGGAAAGTAGGACCTTTGTCTGGTTACATAAGTTTTGCACAATCTATAGTTAATGTAGAATATGTAATTCTGTACAAAATGAGTTAGAGTTCGAAAAAAACTCAATCATTCGATAATGGCAACAACTAGTAACTTGTAGTTTTACACAATTGAAAGAGATGAATTTCGGATGTCTTTTTTATTTAATATCATGTAAGACAAGATTATTTTTAAATCTATTATCTTCTTTAAAACAGTGTTTCATTTAGATTTTGACATCCAAATTAAATCTATAACATTAAGCACGATCATAGTGATTATTTTCTCATATCTCAATATTGAACGAAAAAATCACGTATCTATTCGATCAAATTTCTCTTGAAATATGACACTGTTGATTTCGAAATAATTTTTTCTTATGAAATATCAATCAAAATAAAACTTCCGAAAATTCTTCTTTTTCGATTGTTGAAAATTTCAATCTCTGATAAACGGTGAATATTTCATCTTCATAGTATTAGAAATGAAATCTAACAGAGAAAAATAACGTACGCAATTCCTGTACACCATCCGTTGGACTATTTGGATCTGCATAATTTATTGGATAATCAGTTATATTAGCCGTTGTATTGTCTGTAAAGGACACAGCCGGAATACCTAAACGAAAATTTTCTAAATCATAATTCTATTCATCAAAAATAAAATAAAACCTGATCCATCAACGACTACATCATTATCATCGTCGTATTGTGACATGGTTTTTTCTTTTTTTTTTATTTCAAGAAAAACTTTCTATTTTCAAATACATAATGAACATCATGTATTTCACATGGACAACAAACTGTTATCAATGTTACTTAGCAACTGAATTTTTAATCTTTATTCTAAAGAAAAATTTTTATTTAATATAAAAAAAATAATTTTTTTTGTATTTTCTTTATTAAAACAAACGAAAAAGGAATTAAAATTTGCAAATAAATTCTTTTTCTATAGATGTCACTTTTACATATTTGTGCAACATATATATATATATGTGTATCGCCATTGTTTCCCGTTTGTGAACCTTCATTTATTCATACATCTCGTATGTCTAAGTAAAAGGACAGAAGGAAAAAAAAAAAGAAAAAGAACACAAACTTAATAAATCATTTTTTCTTCTTTTTTTTTTTTTGTATTTCGTAGATTTTAGAATCCTATTTTTCATCGATTACTAGAACTAAAGTCCATTTTATATATATATATATATCTAATCAAGCATCAAGCGAAAAAAAAACAAACAAACAAAAGAACAGATCTTCTTTTTTTTTTTTTTTCTCTATTTATTGTATGATCACAATATTAATATCATTATCATGTCTCTACCAAATAAATCTCTTGATAAAAATAAACGTTATGCTGGTGTTAAAGCGAATGATTTTGTAAACAAAACTCGAGCAAATGAAACAAATCGATCAACTGGTATGTATTTATTTCAACCAAAATCTCATAATTTCTATGTTTATTTTGCATCAGTTCGTCCTCAAGGATGGGCAAATTTAGGAAAAATAAATAGTCGTCGAATACCACCACCAGCTAATTTACCTAGTTTAAAAAGTGAAACAGGTGTTAATTCACCAACATTTGATCCAACAATAACAATAAATCATAGTTGGACATCAAATGAAAATCCAACACAACAACAAATTGATTCATTACCAGTTAATTCTCCAACACTACCACCATCATCATTATTACCACAACCATTAATGGATATTGATAAACCACGTTTAACATCAACATGGAATACAATAACATCAGGTACAAATATAAATTTAAATGAACAAATACCAAGTTTACTTCCATTAAATGATTATCCTCGTTTATCAACAACACAAGATCGTAAATTACAAACAGAATCAATAACAAATATACAAAATCCAAGTTTACGTCCAGCAAATATAGCTATATGGAAAGATGGTGGTAGTAATAATCGTATACAACAATCATTAACAAATGATCTAACACAAATAATATCAAATAATCCTGGTGCTAATTTATATCAACAACAAATATCAAATACAAATATGAGAATGTATCCACAACAAATGGTAAATTTTACTTTTATCAAAAAAAAAAAAACATAATGTATATTTTTTTTTTTGTAGTGGACATATAATCCATATACACCAGTACCATTATCAATGCATCAACAACAACAACAAATGAATACATTACATGATTATAAAAGTCCAACAATATTACGAAATAAAGATATTGATGATTTATCAAAATTAACCGATAATACATGGGCAAATACAACTCAGGAAGTAAATTATGAAGAAAAAATACGTTTTAGTGATGATGATGATGATAATAATAAAAATGATCGTATAGAAATTTTAGAATCAAATAATAATAATAATAATAATAAAACACGTCGATTAAATACACAAATTTTACAACATACACGTTTAATACAAGATGATAAACATTTAAAACAAATGCAAGATAATAAAAATTCTGAATTAATTAATACATTAAATATAGCTAAACAACGACGTGATGAACAAGAACGTCATCTTAAAAATGAACAATTAATAATAAATAATATTGATGAAAAACAAAAACAAATACCTGGTTATCAAACACGTCCATTATTAACATCAAATGATCAAGATAATCATAATACATGGCAAACAAATAAAGATCTAGCAAATACATCTCGTATACGTCATGATACAACTAATAGTCAATCATCATCATCATCACCATTTGCAATGAAAAGTTGGTCCGATCAAATGGATTCATTTAATTATACATCTTTACATGAAAAGTAATGACAAAAATTATTTAATTTTAACTATAAAAGTTATTTGATATTAGAAATGAGAATTTTTTCTTAGTAAATTATTGCTTTCGGAAAACCTATAAAGACACTTTTCTTATAATCCAATCTTCTTTCAGATACATTCAAATCGAATCGAAAATTCTCTGTAAATCTTTGTTATGTATATATTTTTTTTTCATAAAAAAACGTATCGAATTATAGTACCTGTCTATGCGCTGAAAAACAAGGACATCTAAAAAAAAACCCTCGTGTACTTCAGATCCATATGCTTTTTCAAAGAATAAAAAACAAACAATTAACTATAATGAATCTTCTTCGAAAAGTTTGTGAGAACAAAACAAAAGATTTCATATAAACAAATGACTGTAGTCATAGAAAAGTATAATTTCAAATTGATTTTTTTATATATTATTCTATATTTAGATCTCGTGGACATACAGAAAATGAAGAACAATCTACTACAAATAAATATAGTCGTTCTCAAAGTGAAACAAGTTCACAATCTCAACATCCTAATGAATCAATAATAAGAAAATCAAAAAAATTTCCATTAACATCAAAAAAACAACAACAACAACAACAACAACAACAACAAAAAATTAATTTATTACAAACAAAAACTCAATCGAAAAAACTAATTAATAATGAAAATTTAAATTATATTGAAAATCAAATCAATTCAAATGATCAATGGAATGAATCTAATGATAATCGTTATCAACACTATACAAATGATAATCGTCATCATCAACAACAACAACAATTACAATCAGATAGTCTTTCAACACAAAAAATAAATCGTTATAATAATAAACAATCAACAACTAAAGAAAGACAACAAACAAGTATGTTTAAACTTTTTCATCCATGATTTTTTTGACTAAAGTACTAAAGTTCCATTGCTTAGTTGCATTTCTAATAGAAATCTAAAACAAGTACTTCATTTCTATTCACAAAGTATCTATTGATACGTTGCTCTAGATAACAAAGTACCATGGCTAACAGTTGATTGAAGAAAAAAAAAAACAAGACAAGGTTATCATTAATTTCATCTTTTCATTCAAAAACGAATGTCGTAAAAACTGGATCACCTTTAGTGATAAACCAGAGTATTTGTCAAAACTGACGATTTACCGCAGTTAATTACAGCAATAAGAGCCGATAACTGAACCGGTAAAACAATCGGTTTTTTATCACATAGACAAAAATATCGATCATGAATTTGATTTGATTAAGCTAAATAAAAGAAAAGATTCTTTTGCTCAATCTACAGATAAAATATATATACAAGAGAAAGACGACCAACTTTTAAATAATTAGCAAAAAAACTAACTAAGTGCATTTTAATCTAAGAAAATATTCTCGAAGTATTTACCGTTAGAAATACTGAAGTATGTTGTAGAATTTAATAACATCTAGAGAAAAATTTGTTCTCTACAATCATCTATCTTTATTTTTTGTATTTCATTAGATTCTCGTATGAAAACAAATTCATCTTTATCAAATAAAAGTCAAATAGTATGGCGTCCATTATCACCAAATCGACCATTAGAATCTACGGATCCAACACCACAAGAATCAATTTCATATAAATCTCAACAACGAACAAATATTAATGAACATAAACAACGATATCAAACAACAACACCAACAACACCAACATCATCATCAATTATTGATACAGCATCAATACCACCATTAATGAGTGTACGATCTGATGTAACAACAACATCAAATTTATATAATACAACAAATCATAATTTATCATCATCACATTATGATGATGAAAATATTTATTATGATTCAAATTTAGATATGCATCAAAATTATCATCATCATCATAATCATCATTCAAATATACATAATCGTAGATATACAACATTAGGTTCATATGGACGTTATAGACGAAGTGGAACAGTTCGTCATCAACAACAATATACAACATATAATATAAATAATACATCTGGTGTATCAACAGTACCTAATACAAATTCAAGTATACATCAAAAAAAGACTTCAATTAATCGAACAAATAATAAAAAATCTAATCAATCATCTGAACAAATAAAAATTGATGAAATTTCTATAACAAAACCTATTGAAACATCTATAGTATCATCTACATCTGAAATATTAACAACAGATATTGAAAAAATAAATGATACATCTGATCAAAAGAATTCAATAAAAAATGAAAATATTATTTCACAAACAGAAAATGATTCAAATAAAACAAATAAAAAAACTACAGTAGTTACATCATCATCATCATCAAATGTAAAACGACGTACAAATAAAAATCAACAAAATTATCATCAAGATCAACATTATCAAAATCAACAAGCACCAAGACATAGAAATAATTATACACGATCAATGCAAGGTATTCTTTATTGAACAAAATCATAACAAATTTTATTCGTAGTATAATCTGTTAACAGTTTGTTTTTTTTTTGATGATTTCTCTTGAATTATATTCTAATTGAAAGAATTCATAAGATTATTTGCTTAAACGTATTGAATATTTAATTATAATCTTTAGTTCCGATTGGAAGAACTTTTTTTTTTTCTTATAAGTTCCGTTCTTAGTCTCGGCAATTTCTTTTTTCTATGATTCCAGGTCCTGACGAGTTTTTTCGAGGGATCACGCACATCTCTACTCATGGAACACTAAAAACTGCATAACATTATCCTTCGTATCAAGCAAAGTGTTCAGCTCTATTTGAATGTATTTCATCAGTATATATCTGTGCCAGACGTTTTATAATATTCCTCTTCGGTGTAGTTTTATTAAAATAAATAAATAGATTATACAGAAAAACTTCTTCAGACTTAACCTCAACATTGATATAAACTTAGGAAATGAATGGTTCTTTTAACCATCAATCAAAATTACTATTTAGAGCGGAGATGACGAGTACTTTCTTGAATATGTTGAACTTTTGTACTAAATTCTTTATAGACTCATGGGAAATCATAATAGAAAGAAAATTTTACTGTTATTAGCTCTGGTCCTATTAGATACTTGTATAAAGACATTTTCTGTCAGAAAGATTAATAAAAATGTCATTTTTTTTCAAAAAAATTTTAAAATTTACATACATATTTCACATTAATCTTATTATTCTCTCGTATATCTATTTAGAATATGAAGCTATGCAAATGGCTTCTGCACATAATTATTATGGTACAACTCGTCGAACAGCACATAATGGTCGTAATACACATATGCATGACTTATCAAGTGGTTATTATTATGAACATCCTAAACAGTATGTTTTATAAATATTCATTTTTATTAAACACGATTTTATATTTGTGTTGAATTGCAACAGTAGAGATTTGAAATCAGTATCTTTTCTCCGCTGTATCCTCTTCCCCACAGAACTGGTTCCAATCCGTGAAGACTAAAATTTTCGAACGGCGTCAACTTGACGAACTCTGGACGTGATCGATATTTTAGGAAAAATTCATTATAGATATTATTGACATCCGATCAAAGACTATATATATGCATAAAATCTCGTTATAATATATATATGAACGATTTCCTTATTACATTTCTTGAGGATTAAGTAAAAATGATGGTGAAAAAAACGTGTCCTCAAAATAGATAATCTTTCTATGATTAACAAGAGAAGTAACTATATCATGTTTCACATATTAATCCCACATGTATTGTATTAACAACTTTTAAAACAAAAAAATAATGATTTCTTTTATTTTATTAAGACATTATAATAATCGATATAATTATTCAAATGAACATTATCCACAACAACAACAACAACAGCAACAGCAACGTTCAACAAATAAAAATTCTAAACGTGGTGGTTCATCAACAACAAATAATCGACAACAAATAATTAATGGAAGTAGTAGTAATAATAATAATAATAATATTTTTCGTCATCATTCAACAAGTGATAATGATCAAAAAGAAGGTGAAGAATGGGAAACAGCATCGGAATCAAGTACAAATATGCGTAATGGTCATTATGATACAAATACAATAAATACTGAACAAACAAATGAAACAAAAACAATTCATCGTGGTCGAACACCACCGAAGAAAAGTTTTTCCAGTCAAAGGTAAATTTTTTTTTGTTTTTTTTTTACTTAAATTAAAAAAAAATTTATTTTAGGCCTAATGCGCGTCAGATTTTCAAATATACGAATGCATGAAAGAGAGAAAGACAAAGAAAATTTTCTCATTTTTTTTTTTTTTTTTTTTGTTTCTTTTTTAATATTTTGTCTTCACTTTCTTTGTCTCTTTCTCTCTTACCTAATTATTCGTCTACGCGCATACATATCATAATAAATGTATATATGTGTATGTGTATATCATATTATTGTTCTTTCAATTAGATAGAAAAGTAGACTAAATACACGTATACATAGATATATTTATTCATATGTGTGTAAAAAAAATTTTTTTTTTTTTTTTCTGTTTTAAAAAGAATCTCAAAATAGCTTTTAAAGCAGATTTTTGAAGAAGAAGAAAGAAAGGAAACAGATTTTCTTTTTTGTTTTGTTTTGTTATCTTTTGCTTCTTTTTTTTTTTATATAATATATACTGGTCATATTAATTTTTTTTCTCGAATGATGATGAATGTCAATATTGTGTGTATGTGTGGTTTTTCGTTGTTTTTGTTTGTTTGTTTGCATTTCTCTCTCTCTCTCTTTTTTTCGGTTTTTTAATTGTTAATCGAACAAAAATATATTTAATCGTCTGTATGTTTATTTCTTTTTTTTTTTAACCGTTGATGTGACATATTTGATCAAAAACAAAAAAAACAAAAAATCTCTCTTTTCATGCTATTTATTATTTGTAAATATACAATGCCACAATAAGAAGAAGAAAAAAAAATAACATTAACATAATGTGTAAAAGATTTTAAGGAGTGATTTTTCTTTTTTTTGTTTCATCTTTTCTTCTCTCTTTTTCATTCACTCACTTTTGCGCGCGCGCCTTCCGTTTATATTTAATCCTAATGCGTTTATTTCCCGCCTAATACATTGCAAGTTCTTTTCAACTTCTCTTCTTTTTTTTCTTTTCTTTTTTTTTTTTTCTCTTGTCATGAAAAATAATAAAATGCAATCGGAACATTGAGTGTGTTTATTCAATATTGATAATTAAGAGTTTTACAAGTACAATCAGTATTCTTATTGAAATGTGTTATAAACAAGAGACAAATTTAATGCATTGGGAAATAGTTTCTTGGGTAATACATAGCATGGTTTATAAGAATAAATTAATTATGATTTTTTGTAAACTACTAATATTAAATATTCTATAGCGAGACAATCAAATTTTACTTTCATATCTAACATTTGATGACTATTTGACATAGCATGTTAAGAAGGAAAGGAGACTAATAACTCGATATGGGCAAGATGATCCCAGTACTGGGACTAAACTTTTTCAGCTGGAATCGGAACTGTAGTCAAGACAACTACTTTTTCATTGAAAACGATACTTTTTATGATCGTGTAAAACTTGCCTAGTATGTAATGATTCATAGAGTCTATATATATGTAGATGGGCAAGATTGTCTCAGTCTTAACAGAATCGGATCTAATTTCTTTTTTGACCTTGATCAGTACCAATACTTTTTCATTGAGAATGATACATTTAATAATCGTGTAAAACTTGAGTCTTATGTCATATTGTTATGACTTATGTGTTCTAAATAGAGATGAGTAAGATGCTCCCTGTTGTGTCAGCTAATTAAAAAAAAATACAATGAATATTATGATTTTAATTCTTAGTGTTCAATGAATGCAAATCTCTACAAACAATATGAATAGGATTATAATGAAGCCTTCTTTATGATTATGGTACTGTGAATATGATTAGTAATTAAAAATAATAACTAGAAAGTATGATGAATTTTTGTTTACCTTTTTAAAACCAATTGTACGAACTGATTAGCAATGTTAAACTAAAATTTGTGCAAATAATATTTTCTTTTTGATGTATTTGTTTTGGTTTTATTATTGATATCATATATCGATTCATAGTTTATATTATTTTTCGATATTCAAATTACACTCAATGTTTGATCCCATGTCATTTGCTATTTGATAACTTACATATATCTCTAGTGTTCTTATTATATATCAAATGGAACTGAGATAAAAATTTCGAGAAAGATCAAAGTATTTTTCTTCAGTTTTTATTTTGTTATATTAGAATAATGATTTTTATTTAAAACATCCAATTTAGATTCTATTGATATTAAAGTAAAATCAAAGAAAATTAAAAAAAACATATTTTGTTAAGAAGTTTTAAAGGCATCTGTTCATCATATCTGTTGTTATTTATATTTTTGTGCTCTTATTCTCTCTATTCTATCATTATATATATTTTTTGTTTCTGTTCTTTTGTCATTGGTATTTTTCCCTTCTACCATCTGGTCATATGTGTTGTTCTATATACAGGTATTATCCTTTGTTTATTTGTCCTCTCCTAACAAGTGTTTTATTCTTTTATATCTACCGTGGTTATTTCCCTTTAACATATAACTACTATCCCTATATAAAGTAGTTGAGATATCGATAATAAAGAGATGAACTACGTGTGTTAGACCTATCTGCTTTTAATTGTCAACTTATTTATATTAATAAACTCACAGTTTTATATCAATCTAACAATATCATTTATATATATATAAATGAAGGTAAAAGTTTTATTATATTCGAAACTTTTTCTCACTTATATTTTTTTTTTCTGTTGGTATACTTCATCAAAATAAAAATATTTGTATTTATTTATAACATCAATAAAATAACTGCGAAACTATTTTTTTGATAACAGGCAAACAAGGTTTCATTCGGAAACATATGCTGTTATTATACCAAATGACTTTATGAAGAGGAAAATGCACTCTTATTGATTCCGGTTTTGATGAAAAGCAAATGTTTTTAATAAGTCAACTTGACTGTTATTTATTTCATTTGAAACTGAACATTTCTACTGTTTTTATTATTCCGAAGCGCCCCCTCTCCCATCTAAAATACAGTTATATTCTATATGCAGTTAAAATTAGAAAAAAAAAATGATTATGTAAAAGGGTGTGTCATCGTTATCATTTTTTTCTTTTGTATGCATATCTAGCTGTTGTTAACTTCGAGTAGTTGATTAAGAAGATGAATGTAGTTAACAGCTGTACGAAGAGTTTCAATACGAGATAATTTATTTTTATTTTCAACAGGTAAGACCAAACGAAGTTGAGTATAAGCTTTATTTAGTTTAAGCATTCGATGTTTTTCACGTATAGTTGCTTCATCACGTTGTTGTCCATTGAGTTTACGTTTTTTTCGTGTTGGTTGTATTTGTTGTAAACTTGATGATGATGATGATGATGATGATGGAATATTGTTATAAAAAAACTTTTCTTCGTTGTTCATCTCAATTTTTTATGATTTAAAGAAAAAAAAACGATCAGTGTATATATATATACACACATCATATTTTACTCGTCTCTCTATATAATCGAATCATTAAGTAAGTAATGATCTTTGACGATGTAGTAATAACAAGAGTCATTCGATAGAAGAAAAAAAAAATCCACCAATTATGGATTGATTTCAATTGTTATTATATTTTTATAATACGACCACTTTGAAAGAGATTCAATAGTAAAAATCAGTATTTTCAACGAAAGTCAATTCTTTTAATCGATTATAATGTAGTAGATAATGAAAATATTTTTTTTTTTATAAATAATATACTGAACTAAAATTTTGAATAGATCTATCGAGTTTATCAATTTTTGAGGTTTTGTTTCGATTTACTAAATGAAATTGAAGAGTCACACTCAATGATAAATATTGAAAAATACAATGCGTAATAATCGACTTTAGCGTCGTTTGACAGTAATACTTGACTATCCATTGTAAAACGATGTATACATATAAAAAAAAAAGTGTACATTCTCTTAAACGAAACAATAAATCAAACGTCAACGAATCATGATACTTTAGTGTTCGTCCATGATATTGATGTGCCGATTATAATTGACTTTTTATATTATTTATAAGTTATTATTGTCAACCTATTTTTTTAATGTTTCCGACAGCTTGATTATGCCACCGTAGGCGAGGTTTTTTTTTCTTATTCTATAAAATGGTAGATGCTTTTACCTTTCTCTTTTTTTTTTTTTTTTTGTAAGCCTCTTAGATAATGATCTAGTATGTAAACATAATAAATAATACAATAAGAAATAGTGCAAGAAAAAAAATAAAAAGAAATAAAATGAATCATACATACTTATCTGCATTTTTTCTTTTCCTTTTTACATACATATATACTCAAATAATAATTTTTATCATCGAAATATATTTCTAGCTGTATTCATCTAACGTAGGCACATTAACGATTTTTTTTCTCTTACTCCTCTCTATTTTACTTATGCATAATTTTTAATCAAATTGTGCATATAATGCATGTGTGTCAATATTATGACAGAATCTATCGTCCTCGTCATTCTCGCGTTCTTTAGGATTGTATCTATGTAAAAAAAAAAAAAAAACGAAATAAACTGCCTAACCCAATAGTAATCTTTTACTCTTACGCATATGCGTGACTTTTATTCTTTTTTTTTATTTATTTATTTATTTATTTTTACAACGACACACGTAGATATGACTCTCAAACCAAAACCAAGGAAAAGGTAGATAAGGAGACAAAGGAAAGGGAAGTTTATATCTGTATGTATGGATTATTTATCTACGACAGATTAGTATTAAACATAGCACACAGACATATGGATAATGCTCTATCTGTTTATATGTGCACATACGATGAAAGCAGCAGTTCACAAGGGTAACATTTGTTTTGTGTAGTTAAACGATTATTCTTCTTTGAATTATCAAGTACGTTATCAGTATGATGAACACGTGTAGACACATACGCATATAAATGCATACATGCACTTTTTTTTTCTATGCATTATTATTGATATGCACCATATGATATAAAGTTAGTTTAATATGTTATGTCTACAAGCCCTTTTACATTTATTGTGGTTCATATATTTTTCTTCATCATCTTTCTATCGTTAATAACTTTCCACATCGATATATATATATATATATATTTTGTTCTTTTATATATGTATGTGCACGTCATTCGATGCTTAAGGGCGAAATTTTATCAATTTTTTTTTCTTCTTGTTGTTTCGTTTTATGAGTTATAATTCTATGCAATGAAATACACAAGCCAGTTTGTTTGGTCTATTGTCCGTTCACTGTATTTTGTGTCTGTTCGTTCTACGGATGGAATAAATTTATAAAAAAAAAAAAAAGAACTCTCGTTCTTTCTTTTGACATTCTTTCTTTCTTGATAGAGAAATACATAAGGGTACCATTACCATACATACATAGCACTCACCAGAAAGAATGAAGAAGAAGGAAAAAAATGCGACCGATAGTGGCAAAGAGAAAATGTCATTTCCATTTCTCTTCTTGTTCGTGTTCTTCTTTTTCTTCTGTTCGCCGATTGCTTTCCATCAATAGGGTAGTGGACGACGGTCGAATGGGTTCATCAACATTGACGAACGTCGTTTTTCTTTTTCTCTTTTGCTTTATTTCCTTCACCTGTTCTATTCAATAAGACGAGAACGAGAGAAACAGTTGATTACTTCGAACATGTGCATATATTCGTCTTCACCATTCGCGTTTTCTCTCTCTCTCTCTCTCTCTCTCTCTGGCTTCTCTACTCTATTCATTTTTTTTTGCACTTGTAGACAAACCGTCAATACTGCTCAGTATATTGATTGTATTCGACTGACCTAATTTTTGGAAACGAAAAAGTTAAGAAGAAAAAAAAAATATATATATATATATATGTGGTATCCTTCTCAACAGCAACAGCAGCTGTATAGCTGGCATGGATATGCGCATCATTTTCCATCCCGATCACAACAACAACAAACTTATTTGAAAAGTTCATATTATATTCATGGTGATGAATTATCAACTACAAACGTTATACCAATTCATGATGAGAATGAATCACCACCTATCCATTGTCAAACAACATACGGCGGCAATGCTCATGGTAAGAAGAAAAAAACGAGTTGAAAATTGACATGAGTGTTTTTCTTTTAAATTGAATAAGTTCTTTTTCGTACATAAGAAATAACACTAATAATTTGTATAAGTGCTATAGTTTATTTCATTTTTTAGGTTTCATTATTTTTAAAGTCGAATAAGAGAAGGAAAGAGTGAATTAAAATAGGAACAGATATGTATAAGTAGAAGTTTATATCGATGTTTTTATTATTATTATTATTATTTTACATATGTGTATAAGTGGACAAATTGTTGCATCTCTATCTGCTGTTAAAACGACAACTAGTAGTCTCCTTCGTTGTCTTACGCAATGATGATCTTAATGAACGATAGCGACAATGACGATGACATTTGTCGTGTTCACAGTATAAGCTATTCAATTCGGCTTCACGTTCTCTTAACAAGTTGATCGCTAGATCAATCACATAGTGATTGTATGTAGATATATACTATTCACGCAATCGCATACTGTTGTGTTCTATAAAGATAAACAAAGTCTATGATAGAATCTAAATCGAATTATTACGATTTATATAAATGAAGAGAACATATTATTGAAGATTGAGATCTAGTATTCATATGGGTATTGAGAAGACTAACAAGCGAATTAGAAGAGGAGAAAAAAATCTCAATCATAACTATATTTAACTTAGATATTAAATTTCTAATAATAATAAATTGTTGAGTTCCGCAATAAGAAAGTGTTGTCTTTTTAACTTTCTATCTTTACTTAAAAATGATAATTACAAACATTAGTAGATGATAATAACTGCTGTTAAAGTCTTTTAAAAGAATCATTAAAGTAATAAATTTATCTATAGACAGATATCTGTCTGTAGGAATCATGATGATATGTCATGTTTTACTTTTCCCATATGTAAAGATAAACAAGAACAAAGTAGTTCCGTAACAGACGGAGATTCATTGTTTTGTAATTAATAAGGTTGCATTCTTAAGTATGTTGATATGGAATGGGTGTGCATTGCAAAAAAATGTGTTTTTTTTCTTCCACTAGAACAGTATTCTTATATGTCGTCCTCTTTGTTTATGTGGCTTTGAAAGTAGTCAGACCAAGAATGAGAAGAAGAGGCTGTCGAAGTGCCAGTAATAATAGAAAAACGGAGGAAGAAAAACGTTCTCGACCATTCTTTTTTTTATGCTACGTAATTAAAAAAAAATAGTGTCTCTTTTAATCGACGATAGATAGAACTATATAATAAGAAGGAAAAACAAGGTGGATTCATAAGTTGCGCTTTAGCTTCATTTCCGTTGGCATATAAAAATTTTTTCTTCTGTAATCCGAGCTGAGTGCATAAATATATATATATATCTGTGCCTGTGTCTGTACACATGTGATAGACAGTGCATAGTTGATCTATATATATATTGTTATGTTGACCAGATGAAAAGAACAAATGATAATTACGAATTGTTTTTGGTTATATTTTGATATTCTAGTCATATATAAAATTTTTTTATTGAAATTTAATGATTTATCTTAATAAATTGGCTTATTTTTATACATAGCTATTTTCTTTCCTAATTGCTTTAGTTGTTAGTTGCCCTTCCCATTTTCCTCTCAACTTTTTTCCTGTTACTATTTCTGTAGTCAATAAGTACTGAAAGGACTGTTTTTTTTTTGTCTTTCTTCTTCTTTTTTCTCACATTCGTAGTCCTACTATATATTACCGCAGTGCTCATTGTCATTCAAGTTTTTCATCGTCATCATCATCATCTTTTCTTTCTTTTTCTTTTCTTTTTCTAGTTATTACAGACTGCTACGTGACTACTTCAAACAATTCATACGGTGATGAAATGCCCTCATTTCATCCAACACCAACACGAAATGCATATTGGAATCCAGTTATTGCCGCGCCACCAACAAAAAATATGACTATTATGACATCACCCGCACCCATCATTTCCTCTTCTTCATCAGCAACAACTTGTTGGGACTGGTTACTTTTTTCGCCAGAATATTATTCTGAATTTTATACACCATTAACGACTTGTGTTCAAAAAATAGAAGAGGATAAAGATAATGATATTGATTGTAATTTTCAAGCGAGTTTACCAACATGTTTACTCGAATTACTTTATATAACACCAAAATTAATAAATACATCGGACGATGAGAATGATAGTGATCAAGAGATTAGTTCTCTTCATAGAAATGACGAGTCATTATTATTGAAAAATACTATCTCATCAAATTTATCATTATCGTCCGATAATAATAATAATAATAATTCAAATTTAAATATTAATAATCAAAATTCTAAAGAAAATCGTTCATCAACACCCGATACAGATGATGGTTATCAATCAGCTAG